AAGAACACCTTTATTGTATGGCTCATGATAAAGCCACACCCATTCCCGTATAATTTGTTTGTAATGGAAGATACAAGCTTAGAAGTATGTAGTTCTCTTATTAATAAGTTCTATTTAAAGCAGTTATTATATAAAGCAGAAAATAGTAAAGAGATTCTGGATGTTCACCTCCAAGAAGATGAACAATTTCGCTGGCCCGACTTATTAGAAAAAACAGAACCAACAGCTTCATCACAAGACCCATTATTGGAGTTTAATTTAGGAACCGAATTGGTTCCAAAAGTGATCAGGTTAAGTGGTTATTTGTCTAAAGAGCAACAAACAATGATGCTCGAAGTTATTAGAAACAACATTGATTGTTTAGCATGGGATTATTCAGAGATGCCTGGTTTGACAAGAAGTCTAATAGAGCATCGATTGCCCATCAAAGAAGGTTGTAAACCTTACAAACAACCTCCAAGGCGAATGAGTCCAGATCTGATGCCTCAAATCAAGGAAGAAATCCAAAAACTTCTCAAAGTGGGTTTCATTCAACCTTGCCGTTATGCGGAGTGGCTGGCTAATATTGTGCCAGTGGTCAAGAAAAATGGTAAGATAAGGATATGCATCGACTTCAGGGATTTGAATCTAGCTACCCCTAAGGACGAATATGTGATGCCTATGGCCGACATGCTGATAGATGCAGCAGCAGGGCATAAAATCCTTAGTCTGATGGATGGTTATGCAGGTTACAACCAAATATTCTTGGCAGAAGAAGACATTCCTAAGACAGCATTCAGATGCCCAGGGGCTTTGGGTATTTATGAATGGACAGTCATGCCATTTGGGTTAAAGAATGCAGGGGCAACTTACCAAAGAGCCATGAATTCAATCTTTCATGATTTAATTGGCAGATCTATGGAAGTGTATATTGATGATGTTATAGTTAAATCTGCCAGTTTTGACGAACATTTGAGGGATCTTGAAGAGGCATTTGAAAGAATGAAGAAGTACAAGTTGAAGATGAATCCAACCAAATGTGCTTTTGGAATATCAGCCGGGAGCTTTCTAGGATTCTTAGTTCATGAGAGAGGAATTGAAATTGATGCCAACAAGGCTAAAGCCATTCTTGATAGTCGGCCACCCAAGACGGTTACAGAAATCCAGAGTCTGTTGGGTAAGGTGAATTATTTGAGGCGTTTCATTTCTAATGCTGCTGGCAAGGTCAGACCTATTACTAAATTGTTGAAAGCTGGAAAGATTGCCTTTGAATGGGGGCCCGACCAACAAACGGCTTTAGATGCTATCAAGCAGGCATTGGTTCACCCTCCAGTCTTGATGCCTCCCAAACAAGGTCGGCCACTCAAACTTTATTTGGCAAATACATATGAAGTGGTTAGTTGTTTATTGGCGCAGGATGGTGATGACGGGAAGGAAAGGGCAATTTACTATCTCAGTAAAACCCTTACAGGACCAGAATTGAATTACACTATGCCAGAAAAAATGTGTTATTCATTGGTCTTCGCTTGCACTAAACTCGAGCATTATTTGCTGCCCAGAAGAGTTGAGGTCATATCAAAGGTGGATCTCATCAAATTGATTTTACAGAGACCTACTATGAAGGGCAGACTCATGAAATGGGCCATCAAATTGGCTCCTTTCGATCTTCAACATTCCCCGCTGAGGGCAATTAAGGGACAAGCAGTAGCCGACTTCTTGGCAGAATTCTCACAAGTCGGGTATTCTCTTTGTGATAGTGTCCGACCATTTAGTTGCTCATCATATCTGGATAATCTACAGGTCGGATGTGTGCCATATATAAGTACCAGAACATGGTTGATGTTCTTTGATGGTTCTACCTCTGGAAACAAATCAGGGGCAGGGGTCTTTTTGCAAGGACCTGATGGTCAAAAGATCAACTTACAATTACGATTGGAAGCCATGACCCATAATTCGGCAGAATATGAGGCTTTAATTTTGGGTCTGGAGGCTTTAATAGCCAGGAAGGTCCAGTCTGTAATCATAAGAGGGGATTCTCAACTAGTAATCAACCAGGTAAACAACCAATATGTTTGTAATTACCCTCATCTCCGTAGATACAGGGACATTGTGGGTCGGTTACTGACGAAAATCTCAGAAGTAATAATTGAGTTCATTCCGAGGAAAGAAAACCAACGTGCTGATGAGTTGGCTCAAAGGGCCTGTAAAGGAATTCCAGGGGATATGTGGTCGGAGGTCAAGTCGGACATAGAAGAAAAGACAGACCCAATACGTGATCGAATGGTCGGGCAGGAGACTGTCGGATCGGAGCCCGACTGCGAAGTTACGGTCGGGCAGGAGATAGTCGCAGATGAGCCCGACTGCGAAGTTACAGTCGGGCAGGAGGTATTCGCACATGAGCCCGATTGCGAAGTTATGGTCGGGCATGAGACTGATGGACAGGAGCCCGACGGCTTAGTTACAGTCGGACACGAAGATACCAGTGAAACAGTGCCCGATTGGAGAACAGAGCTCATCACATATTTACAGAATCCTGGTGCAAATGTTTCAGTTGCGACGCGATTGAAAGCTTTACGTTTTCAATTAATAAATGGAATTTTGTATAAGAGGTCATTTGAAGGTCTGCTTTTGAAATGTTTGGGGTCTAAAGAAGCTCTAGAAGTGATGACAGAAGTACATGGTGGGATATGTGGAGCTCATCGGGCAGGTCTCAATATGAGATGGGCCATTCATCGCTTGGGGTTTTTCTGGCCAAAGATTTTTGAAGACTGCATACAATTTGCCAAAGGCTGCCAGGAATGTCAGAGACATGGAAACTTAAACCATTTGCCAGTAACCGAATTGCAATTCTTGGCAAAACCATGGCCTTTTAAATCATGGGCTATGGATATTATTGGTAAGATACATCCTGCTTCATCGAAACATCATTGTTTCATATTGGTCGCGACTGATTACTTTACCAAATGGGTAGAAGCAGTTGCTTTGAAAAATGTGGATCAGAAAGAAGTGATAGACTTCGTTTTGAACCAAATTATTTACAGATATGGTATTCCTCAGTCTATAACAACCGACCAAGGCTTGGTCTTTACAGGGGAAAAGTTCTCTAATTTCTTGGCAGAATTCGGTGTTCGGTTACATCATTCTTCACCTTATTATCCCCAAGCCAATGGACAGGCGGAAGCAGCAAATAAGATTATCATTGGGATTATAAAGAAGATGATTGAAGGGAACCCAAGAAAGTGGCATTTGTTATTGTCTCAGGCTTTATGGGCACATAGAAATACCAGAAATACGGCCACAGGGTTCTCACCTTACCAACTTACGTTTGGCCAAGATGCTGTTTTACCAGCCGAAGTTCGAGTATCATCCGGCCGAACAGAATTTACTGATAATGATCTTACAAAGGAATACCAACAACTTATGCTGCAGCAGTTAGAAGATTTGGATGTTAACCGTCTCCATGCAATAGATCGAAGTGTGAAACAGAGTGAAATCAGAGCAAGGAGTTACGGAAAGAAAGTTCTTCACAGGACATTCCAAAAAGGAGACCTAGTCTGGAAGACCATTCTTCCTACATATAAGAAAACTGATCAATTGGGAAAGTGGTCACCGAATTGGGAAGGACCATACATTGTTCAAAAAGATATTGGAAATGGCGCGTTCATTATTGTAAATCATGAAGGTAGAAGAGTACATGATTGTATTAATGCTAAATATCTGAAGAGGTATTATTCAGAACCCATTTGTGGGGGTTCGAACCTACTGGAAGGTTCATTTCTGTTAGTCATCGTGTAGTTGTGAGAAATTTTCTGTCTCTGAATCAGACTTTTCATCCCAGTGAGTGGATATTAGCTCTGGTTCGTCTTCAATAAGATCTTCCAAGTCTGGTCGGTACCTTTCCCATTGGTTTTGCATGTCATCTAGATCTTGGTGGGTACGTGCTTGCATGTCTGTTAGGGCTTGATGTTCACGGTCAACAATGGTACGCAATCTTGAAAAGACTTTTCGTTGATTGGAAAATATGTTATCCCAGCCAAGATCTGGAAGTATGGTTGCTGCGTGATTTTCGATCATTTCCATGTGATGATGAAGATCAGGAATGCGGCTAAGGATGTCATGAAGAGGTTCATACCCCTCAATGACTTTTTCCATCAGGCGGATGACGCGATGAATGGTTCTTCTTCCTCGTTGGGAGAATCGGAATTTGAAGTCTAGTTGCTTGAGTATATGTAACAAGTCTTCTGCATGGCCTCCAATAGGGTGATTACCTATAAAGAAGGGTTGAAGAACACCCTCCCAGTTGCTTGATGGAACATGAGGTCGGTCGTTCGCCATGTTTGTTCACACTTTCAGTGTTTTGATTTTAAAATATGCCTGGGAATATGTTTCTTAAAATGTGAGAAACAGTGTTCTTTTAAAGAAGGAGTTTGGTTCGTTTCCTATAAAGCTGGGAATTGAAAGGTGATCCTTGTTTTGAGAAAAGAAAGAAAAAATGGATTACTAAGTCATTTGTTGTTACAAAGGGGAAAAAATTACAACAGTGCCCCTAGGGCAGTTTTTATCTGTGTCCATTTGTTTTCATCCCTGGATAGCCTTCTGGTATTGGCAGCCATCTGATATCTTCTGATGAATTGGGATCGGGCTTGGGTTTTCAGCTCTTGATCCAATTCAGCCTCATTTTTGGTATACTTCTCAAGCAGATGCTGTTCATTGGTAATTTGCTTATCCAGGGTAGACTGTTCTTTCCTCAGCTCCCGCAATTCTGCCTCCTTTTTCTGAATGGCATCATCAACCAGAGCTTTCGTGCTAAGGAGACCACCCAGTCTTCCAGTAGTCTGCTGAAGGGATTCTCGAGTCTTGGCCAAAGAATTCTCCAGCGTTGTTTGATCGAAGTCGGGCTGGGGGGTTTCGGCTGACAGGAGTCCAATGACTAATACTTCAGTCTTGAGCTCTGTAAGTCTTTCCATCAGCCGATGCAGAATGGGGACGGCTGGTGATTCCGTTGGAGTGTAATAAAGAAGGCCACCAACCGTCTGAATGAGCTTGTCCAATAAGTCGGACCTTAATTCGGACAGGGGACGGTTAATGGCCTCAGTGAACACAGTCTGGGCCTCCGCTGGAACCGGAACAGTCGATAGGACAGCTAAGTCCGAAGGCTCCTGCAAGTCCTACAATGTCAATAAATATTCCAAGGGAGTTGCAAATTTGTTCGGAGAAAATATGTGGTACCTCTGGGCGGACTGCTGTCAGTGAGGGGGGCAGCAATGAGGTCGGTCGAGTTGGGCAGACAGCTGGTATAACAGCAGCCGACTCGTCGGCTGCTGCGAATGGTCGCTGAGGTGCCGACCTGGGTCCCTGTGGAAAGTAGTATTGGAAACAGTTAGTGTTTTTCGAAAGAAAAGTTATGGCATGGATTGGTCTAATCTTACCAAATTCACAGAAGTCTCCGAATCGGATGAAGACATTTCTCCCATTTCTGGAGGTTGGGCTGCCACGGGTGGTTCTTCTGCCTGCCATTCGATGGCTAGAGGGAGTGCCGCTGCTGGTAGGGCGGCTGCAGGTTGGACGGCTACCTCTAGAGCCACTGCAGCCAGGATCTCTGGGGCACCTTCGATTTCGGGATCAGCAGCATCAGGGATGTCGTTTTGAAGGTCAGCTTCGGCGAGGGCGGCTGGTTCTTCCTTTGACATAGATGAGTCTGATGCCATGTATGGCGGCCGACCCATCTGGGAAGTAGTCCCCTCGCTGTCAGAAGAGACCCCTGCTGCTGATGGGATGGGTGAAGGTGTCTGTGGAAAAATCATGAAGATGTTTGTTGTTAAATATATTAAGGTTGATCATCCGAATCTTAAGTCTTGCTGATAAGGAACTTACTGGTTCTATAGGCACTGTTGGTAAAGATTGTTTCCTGGTCGGGGGCCTGGCCCGACCACTCCTCGATACGGGAGGAAGAGTTTGCCTCCGCGTCGGGTCCTCCGCCCGACTGCTCATTGGCAAATTGGTCTGGACCAAAGGCCCGATTGAATGGTCGGTTGGTGCTGGCGTCGGTTGCTTGGTCGGTGTCACCAAGGTCGGTTCTGGGGAATGAAATGAGTGAAATCAAAGTTATGATATAGTGAAATGGTTCACGGTGTTAAGAAACATTACCAATTCGGGGTCGGGTCCTTGCTGACGTCCTAGTTATTCCAAGGTCTGCTAGTGTTTGCTGGTCGGTCTCCGAGGTCGGGGGTGTGTGCAGCTGGGAAGTTTTTCTTTTGCGCGTGGGACCCCCAGATCCGATTCCCGGGGCGGTTGTTTGTTTTTGGGTGCTAGTATGTATCGCCGCCCCTAGAACCAGTCCTTGGGGAGGGAGGAGTACGTTTAGCAACCGACCCTCATCAGGGGATATCAGGGACCATACGACCGACCACCATTCATTGAAAGTATCTACAATCTCAGGGTTGGAGCGGAAAGGAATATAAGAATTGGAAATTATATACGTGGTGAGCTGGGAGATATAAGAAGGGATTGAATTAGGAAGGACTCGTCGGTCGGGACTTTGAAATATTATTTGGGGACATGCGACGGGTCCAGGGATACCTTGGCAACAGCCGAACTGGCGCGCCATGAATTGAGGTTCATAGTTAAAAGTGTAAAAAGTTTTCTGCCCTTTTTTATCAAGTTTCTTACTACTAAAAAGAGACCTGGGTTTGAGGGCGACGTCCCAGGCGAAAGGATAAGTGGGATGAGGACAAGGCTCAGGAGTCGGAAGCGGGTTTGGTACTGGAAAGGGCCAAAAATGGTCGGGAGCATAACCCGCATACTTTTTATACATAGAAAATCGAGAGTTACTGCGGGTATCTGTTAAAATGGCAGTTATTATTGGATCAGACGATTGGAGTTTATTGCGTCCTGAGCAGAGTCGGTTGAGGACTAATCCTAAATGTTTTTCAGATGTTGGCATAGTGGGCGGAGATCCTAAGTTAAACGCGTTGGGGAAGTAAAGACGGAACCAAAGTTCTAAAAACCAAAAAGGACCCGACGCGGCAGTGTCTAATTTCCTATTATCGTTATCTGTTAAACGAAGGCTAACCCTGGTGAGTCCTTCGAACAGATTGGCTAAAAATAGAGTACCAAGGGAGAAGAACCGACCTGACGCAATATGAATGGCCAGGTCGAGGTGGGAAGGAAGAACACTTTTGGAAGGAGAAACAATGATGTACCTACAAAGCCAGAACAGAATAAAGGCAGTATGCTCCCGGTCGGTTACAGGAGTCCCTGGAGCCCCTTGCTGGTCGGTTGCGAACTTTGTCCAACCCCATTCCTTCACACTTTGTAAGGACCATCCCGGATGGTCTTCTGATGGCTCCTGCCCATCTAGGGCTCCCATTACAGGGTCTTCACCCACGATTGGGAGATGTGCGATCATGGCCACGTCCATAAGAGTTGGGCCAAAGGGGCCTGATGGGAAGAGGAAAGTCCCATTTTCCGCATTCCAGAAGGCAGACATGGCCAACAACACCTTCTCATGCAGGTTGATAGGCATGGTGGACAGCAATATTGCTTGGTCGATTTTTTGGGAACGCCATTGGGTCTGGAAGTGTTCTGCTACTCGTCGATACCAAGCGCGATACAGATCTTTTGGGTCTGTGAGATGGGTCTTGATGCTGTCCCGGATGCGAACTGCTTGGTAGTTGGGATTGTTGATAGCCAAGGGGTTGCGAGATTCCAAAACTTCCCTCATCCGATTTGAATCTTCAGGAGTAGTGCAATATGGACGGATCGTCGGAGTTAGTACTTTCGAAGCTGAAAATGGACCTTCTGGAAGGGTTCCGTCGAAAGGAAGGGCAGGCATGTATTGATTCGCCATAGTTAGAATGTTTTGGGATTGTGATTCACACAGGCTTGTATTGCGAAGAAGGAAGTTTATCAGGAGTGTTGCAGTAACTGGTGCAGTTGCTAAGGGAGTTTTTCAAGAGGGTAGTGATTTATGAACTTCCAAACATTGATTGCTAAATGGCGTTTGAAAGTCCCTTGGCGGCGGGCAAGTTGTTACGTACGAAATTTAGAATTAGGTTAAAAGCCCAAGGTAAAAAGAAGAATGGGCCTGACAATAGGGTTGATTGAACTGGCTGAAGGACACCGTGAGGAAATCAAGGAAAATAAATTTATTTATTTATTTCTAAGGAAAATACAGGACGGAAGGACCTCAGGTCGGTAGGTCCTCAGGACGGAAAGACCTCAGGTCGGAAGGTTTTCAGGTCGGGAGGTCCGCCAGACGGGAAGACCTCAAGTCGGAAGGTCTTCAGGTCGGGAGGCCCTCAAGATGAAAGACCTCAAGTCGGAAGGTCTTCAGGTCGGGAGGTCCGCAAGACGGAAAGACCTCAAGTCGGAAGGTCTTCAGGTCGGGAGGTCCGCAAGACGGAAAGACCTCAAGTCGGAAGGTTTTCAAGTCGGGAGATCCTCGAGACAGAAAGTCGTTGAGATGGGATATCCGCAGGTCGGGTAAACTGTAGGTCGGATAGAAGGAGGAGTCGGACAAACACGGAGGCCTTTGATCAAATATAGGGGGCGGTTGATATGGAGGTCGGTCCAAGTGGGGTCGGGCGAAGAAGTAGGTCGGACGAAGGACGAAGTCGGGCCAAAAGAGCGGAAGGTCTGTAGTTGGCTCAAGGAGTGAAATATAGGGATTTTTGGTCTGCTGGGGACACGTGTCAGCATAAGAAAGGTTGGAAGACGGTTGAGAAGGAGACGTTGTAACCGTTCGGGTGACGGTTTTCAGTACGGTTTCCCAGGGAATATTTAAGGATTTGGATCATCATTTGGCAAGGCATCTTCAATCAACTTCAACAAAGCAAAGTCAGATTTGGGGATCACCACTTTAAATTTCAGTATTTTATTTTCCAGTTTAGTTTCTGTACGTTACAGTGTTTAGAGATTCCTAATCTCAGGCACTAATTAATCAAGTTTAAGGATATTTTCTATGTCTTTGAATTTTACTTTATTTTTGTTGAAAAAATACATCAACAATATTAATCAGATAATTTAATAATATAAATTAATATAACTATATTTTACTTATTCAATTATATGGTGAAATTATATTTTTAACATTTGATCCACTTTCATCATTTTGAGATGGAATAATAATAAAATCTAGTAGTATTTTATATAAATATGGAATATAGGGTTTGTTTGTTTAGTATTTTAATTTGGTTTTTTTTTTTTTTTAATTTTTTTTTATGAAATATAGAAAAATATGTCATTAATATAAAAATAATATTTTATATTAGTTATTGATTTTTATGAAAGGATAAAATATATATTTTGAAAATCGTATAAAAATCACGTGCGAACAAATTCATAGTACCACTTATTACTTTCTCTGTCCGCCTTTAACGGTTACATTTACATTTTGCGTCATTGTATTTAACATTAAAAATATCTTTATATTTGTATAATTTTTTTTTTTACAAATACCCTTCTATTAGTATTATAAGATACTAATAAAAGTATTTTTGTAATTTTCTTTTGATTTGTACTATGTTTTGATATCATCATTAATATTCAAATATTAACATATAAAAAATTGTTGTGAATTTATTCCCCGGTCTTTAGATTTATCAAACAAACTTTGTATACAAATACGACAATGAATTAATAGCGGAAGCAAATTAAATCGAATAAACCCAAATTAAATTTAAACCGAAATCGAAATTAAATACATTATTCTCTAAAGGCAATTATGGAAATCAAAGTAAACACAAACATCCGAAGCCAAAGAATGAATTGACATGGAAATCTCCTTGTTCGTCTTCTTTATTCCAAAATTTCACAGCTTCTTCTTTTGTTGAACAAAAAATCAATGGACAACGGCAGTGACTCCGACTCGGCAACATCCTCCGATGACAGTTCTCCTTCAGCGACTCCAGCGGCAGCCGTGGCTCTGCAGTCTGCTCCGGCGCACAACGTGCCTCTGTCGAACAGCCCCCACTCTGGCGATAGCTTGCGTTGCTTCCGGCGCCTGTAACTTCTTCGTTCTTTCACCAGCGAGAAGGACAGCGGACTTTGGCTAAGATCCTTGCTGCAATATTAGCCCAAGTTAACCACGTCTCAAGGTGGAGGTCGCATCTTCACATCAAGCCTTGACGCCCACCGATTCCGGCCATCGGAAAGGTTCGACTCTTACTGGAATCATTCACCGGAAAATCCACGGAACCTCTCTTCTTTTCCTCACCCTCTCTAGGTCTCGCTCTCACCTTCCTCTAACTCTCGATCTCACACTCTCAATTTACCCTAAAACCCACTTTAATATATCTATGAAACTAACTCACCCTAACAAACTCACTCACGGATATAACAAAACCAACAACCTAACAAATTGTGTTTAGGATAAGGTAGGTTTGGGCAAATGAATAGGGTTAGGATTAAAGGGTTGGGCCGATCCTGTGGGTTGGGCTAATGAGTGGGTCAGCTAATTATTTATTATCGAGGGACTTGTCAGGTTAAGCCTCGAACGACCAAAATTCCCAACAAAAGTAAATATGACCCTTAGAGCCGGACGAATATAGTATTATTATTATGAAGTTAAAAGGTTGGACATAAATAGGGGAGTCACCATATATTGATATTTCATGCATACAATATGTTATATTGTGAATACGAATATGAGATAAGGTCATATTGATATCGAAACGAAAATCATTCAGTATATACCGATATATCGTATATTATAATGAAAACTAATATATCAAAATTAATAGTAACTATAAAATGATTGATATACCGAGAGTGATGGCAGAAAAGTTAGATCTATAATTGATTGGACTATCTCTAAATGAGTTAATCTAGGTTGAAAAATAAATCAATCAACCCAACTAAATTCCAATCCAACTGTTATAAATTGTCTAGAACTCAATCTACTTACACTTATATCTGCTATGTCTCGATTCTTCTTCAGAATTTGTTAGATTCAACTGTATATATATATGGTTTAATACGTGCAATTGAATTCTTTAATAAGAAATCTTCACCTTTTTGTTGTCTCCCATTGCTTTATTATTCTTCATGATATCAGAGTGCAATTGATATCAAGGGGGATACCATGGTCGTTGTTCAGATGGAGGTCGCTAACAACAATACCTCCAATTATACATCTGAAGCTTAAGCAGCAACAAAAGTGGCAGCACAAACCATTGCCAATCAGGGAACTGTATTATTGGCATAGGCTTATGCTATAAATAGACATGTATTCTCATTCTAATAGGCTGCCAATAGGCCAAGCCATACAGTTAGGCCATTAGGCCACGCCAATCGGCCAGGCTATGCGGCCAAGCGGCTCAAATCCTGCAATAAAATCTGTTCTCCGTTTTTGTCCGTGGAGGTAGCCAACTCGTTTATGGTGAACCACGTAAATCTGTGTCTTCTTTACGTTTTCTATTTGTTATTTGATCATTAACCCTAATCCGTCATAACAAACTGGTATAAGAGCCTAGTCGTTTCGATCAAGGTTTTGTTTATTTCTGCACTGTTAGGGTTTCTTGAGTCGATCAACAATATTTGATTTCAACGTAAAGGTTGACAAATTCACCAGGAGAAATAGTTTTGGCTTATGGAAGATCAAGATGCGATTTTTGCTGAAGCAGCAGGGTTTGTGGGCGCCGTTATCTGGAAAACCGAGAGGTGCAAACGCAGATGATGAAGAGTGGGATACCGCAGAGGAGAAAGTCCACTCGATAATCATGCTATGCTTGTTCGATGATGTAATCATCGAAGTTGCCAATCAAGGAACTGTTGTTGGCCTCTGGAAGAAGTTGGAGAGTTTGTACATGACAAAATCTCTAACCAATAAGTTGCTTTTGAAGCAACGTCTGTTGAGGCTATGAAGGTAGTTGCCCGATGAGGGGCAAATCTGAGGCAAAATGGAAAGTTTGTTCATCTGGCATCATAACGATGAATCTGGAAATGGGATTCAAGTTAAGGTGCAAATGGCTTGAAGCTAGTTTGCCACTCGTTTGTTTGGCATCATAACGATGCATCTGAAAGTGAGATTCAAGTAAAAGTGGAGATGTCTTGAAGCTAGTTTGCCACTTGTTCGTCTGGCATCGTAATGATGCATCTGGAAGTTGGATTCAAGTCAAGGCGGAAATGCCTTGAAGCTAGTTTGCCACTTGTTCTGTAGCATTGTAATGATGCATCTGGAAGTGAGAATCAAGTCAAGGTGAGATACCTTGAAGCTAGTTTGCCACTTGTTCGTCTGGCATCGTAATGATGCATCTAGAAGTGGGATTCAAGTCAAGGTGGAGATTCCTTGAAGCTAGTTTGCCATTTGTTCGTCTAGCATCGTAATGATGCATCTGGAAGTGGGATTCAAGTCAAGGTGAGATGCCTTGAAGCTAGTTTGCCACTTGTTCGTCTGGTATCGTAATGATGCATCTGGAAATGGGATTCAAGTCAAAGTAAGATGCCTTGAAGCTAGTTTGACACTTTTTCATCTGAGGCTGAATGGAGGAGTCTGTTCATCTGGCATTGTAATGATGCATTTGGAAGTGAGATTCAAGTCAAGGTAGAGATTTGTTAATATGCCTTGAATCTAGGGATATGATTTGGATATTAGGTATTATATTCTAGAGATATGATTTAGATGTTAGATATTATATCATAGATTTAGATATATGATTTAGATATTATTAGCATAGACTTCTGATATAAATAGGCATGTACTCTCATTCTGATAGGCCACCAATCAGCCAAGCCTTACGGTTAGGCCATTAGGCCACGCCAATCGGCTGGGCCATTAGGCCAGGCCATACGGCTAGGCTATGCGGCCAAGCGGCTCAAATTTTGCAATAAAATATGTTCTCCGTTTTTGTCCGTGGAAGTAACCAATTCATTTTTTATGAACCACGTAAATCTTTGTCTTCTTTACGTTTTTTGTTTGTTATTCGATCATCAACTATAATCCGTCGTAACAATACTAAACTTTGATTTCCTACCTTTATTTTATCGTGAATATTTAGCATTGTATCATATTGTACAAAAATAATGCTATACAAAAAAATATGATACTTTCAATACGATATGGATAATATACAATATTTTTAGTTTTTTTTCCATCCCTAATAGTAAATGAGCTAAAAAAAAGTTATTCACTCATTCCGTTAAAGTTACTTTCTATTTCAATAATTTTTATCAAATTAAAATTTATATCATAAATATCAACACATTTTTTATTTACTTAAGCATTTGTGATAATTTAACAAATAACATTTTTATAACTGTAATTATTACATACGCTATTGATTAAATTTATTTTTTAATAAAATTTCAAATATTCCTTATATAGATTTTATATATAATATTAAAATATTATTTTTGTAAATTTCCGTTCCTAACTTGCTATGCCCTAGATATTTCGTACTATTCAATAATTTTTTAGTATTCAAGAAAATGCCTTTAAATTTTAATATTTAACTGTAATTTTGAATCCTACTTTTATTATTTAATTCATGATATTTTTACAGAAAAAAAATTGTATAGTAAAAAAAAATAAAAATTGCAATCTTTAAATTTAAATACAAAACACAAGCGAAACATCAAAGTTTCTTCTTTCAAATATTTTTTTTGTTCATTTTCTTTAACATTCAACATCTACATTTATAAATAAAAATACATTACTTATGTGGCCTACAAAATATAAGGGTAAATTGAATTTTTTGTTCCGTAATTGCATCATTTTATAATTTTAGTTCGTAACTTGAGGCTGTTTCAAAATAGTCCAGTTAGTGAAAAATTTTTGCAATTTAGTCCTCAATGTTTGTATAGCACCTGTGTGGCATGCTGTCAGCGCCATGTACCTAAGACGTGTCCGCCATGTGAATTATATTTGCATTTATTTATTGTTTTAGAAATATAACAAATTACAAATATAAAAATAAAAATATAAAAATCCACGTGTTGCTGATGTGACATTTATGTGGCAATGACATGTCAACCAACGTGGTGAGTCCGGCACCGAATGACTATTTTAGCAAAAAAATTTTACTTACGAAACTTTTCAGACAGAATCCACTTAAAGTACCAAAATGATAATAGGGGTCAGATACGAGATTACAAAAATAGTTTAGCCAAAACATAAGATATATATATATATATATATATAGAGTTATTATTTAAACACAAAATCCAGATACAGACACAAGCACAAACACAATCACAAACACAAACTCAAACAAAACAAATCCATATTTTTATTGAAAATAGAAAATAATTAATCAATAAAACTAATATATTACACATATTTATTACTTTTTTAATCGAAATTAAGGACCGAATACTTGTAGTTTACAATTAATCGAACACATACGAAACAAGAAACATCGAATCTTTTATATACTTTCTAAATCGAAGGAGTTCGGACTCAGTTTACCCAATATTCCAACCGATTAGAAACACATACACACAACCTCGACCCAAACACTACCGACATCCACAGAAACGCACAATCAACGCAATTAACAACCTAATCGAAAGAAATCTCAAGATTCTAAGCCTAAATCATCGCGGACAATCAATTTACACCACGAACAGCTCATAAAGACAGAATCGAGAAATCAAACCGAAGAACAACTTTAGAATAAGCTGTAATACAACCACGGTCGATGAACTTCAAGTTCCGATGGCCAAACTTGCCGGAATGCCACGGATAGGTCGATCGCGTTCGTCGGGAAAGCTAGGGCTCCAGAGAGTGAATATCGCGATGTGAAAAGAGTGAGAATCGTCTGTCCAGTGAACCGGGAAGCAGCATATATATAAGACCCCTTTGACCGGTTTGAGGGCGGTCCAGGGCGGTTCAGGCCAACCGAACCCATCATCCAATTCATCACTCAATCGGGTCGAACCGCGGGCACAGGATCCGGGTTTCGATAGGTTGGGTCGGGTCGAAGTGTAATATGCACAAAACATCACAAATCTCCACCTTTTTGGGCATTGGAGAAAGTGCTTTAAGGGTGTCATCCCTGTCCGAACTCCAACAATTTCAGTCTTTTAACCTGCGGACTTATTAACACGGTTCATGTTCTCAAGTTTTAATAAAACAGCTCTCAAAAACAACTCAGCTGTAAAACTAACCAAAACAGCTACACAAACAACTACATGATTAAATATATCATGCTGAAAACAGAATTTTTTAAACAACAAAAGATACAAGCCTTCAAGTTTTAAAGATTCTCCTAATCAAAAGTATCTATATAAACTGTTTTCTTACACAAATTGAATTTTGTTATTGATAAAACTTTTGTTCCCATGTCCACAGGATTATATTCTGAAGGTATTTTTTCTAGTTTTACAAAACCCTTAGACACTATATCACGAATGAAATGAAACCTAACATCTATATGTTTCGTTCGATCATGAAAGACTGGGTTTTTACAAAGCTGAATTCCGGATTGACTATCTGAAAAAACTGTTACTTCATTTTTCAAGTAGCCTATTTCATTTAATAAACCTTTTAACCACATACCTTCCTTCAATGCTTCAGTTATGGCCACATATTCCGATTCTGTCGTAGAAAGAGCAACTATATGTTGTAGTTGGGATTTCCAACTAACACAAGAACCACACAAAGTAAAGATATACGACGTAGTTGACTTCCTAGAGTCTCTATCATTCGCATAATTAGAATCCACATAGCCATTCAGTTTTAACTCACTAGTGTGTTTACCAAATACTAAACCAATTTCAATAGTATCAACCAAGTATTTAAACACACACTTTAACGCATTCCAATGTTCCACACCCGGATTAGCCATGCATCTACTCAAACAACTAATAGAATACGCTAAATCAGGCCTAGTGCACACCATCAAGTACATAATAGAACCTACAGCACTAGTATAAGGAACATTCGGCATGTATTTCACATTATTTTCAGATTTTGGGCATTGCTCTTTAGATAAAATGAAATTAGAAGCAAGAGGGACAACAGAAGGTTTAGCATCAGTCATGCAGAATTTATTCAAAATTTTCTTAATGTATGAAGACTGATTTAAAAACAGCATGTTATCTTGCTTATTCCTAAGTATATTCATACCAAGAATTACATTTGCATCTCCTAGGTATTTCATATCAAACTTCTTGCTTAAACAATCTTTCACATGATTAATGGTTTCCAAACTAGGACTCATAATCAACATATCATCAACATATAATAGCAAGAATATGGGATGTTCACATGCTATTTTAAAATACAAACAATGATCAAAATTGTTTCTATTAAATTTCAAAGATTTCATGCATTCATCAAATTTTATGTTCCATTGCCTAGGGGACTGTTTTAGTCCATAAAGGGATTTCTTTAAAAGACACACATGATTAGGATTAATTTTATCAAAGAAGCCTTACGGCTGTTTCATGTAAATCCTTTGATACAAATCACCATGTAAAAATGCAGTTTTTACATCTAATTGTTTCAATTCCCAATTAAAATAGGCAACTAAAGCAAGCATGAGCCTTATAGTAGAATATTTAACAACAGGAGCAAAAATTTCATTGTAATCTATTCCCTCCTTTTCTGTAAACCCCTTAGCAACTAATCTTGCTTTAAATCTAACTCCATTTTCATCTTGTTTTACTTTGTAAAGCCATTTACAAAGTAAAACAGAACTGTTAGCTAACTTTGGCACCAAAATCCAGGTTTTATTATCCTTTAATGACTTCATTTCTTCATTCATTGCATTAATCCACTCATTTCTTTGTTTTGATTTCATAGCTTCACTATATGTCCTTGGATCATTACCATCTAATGATTCAAACACATTATAAGCTAAAGAGATAACATCAACATCAAAATCATCTAACCTAGGGGGCTGCCTTACATTTCGCCTAACTCTATCCCTAGCAAGTTGATAATTTTCCAGATTTTGATCAATATTTTCAGCAATTCCAGATTCAATTTCCTCACTAACATCATCAGAACTGATCTCCAGACCAGCCTCTGAATTTCCAGAATGAAAATCTGGATCAAAACTGGCTGTTCTGGTATCAGTTCTATTTGAGGCACTGTTATCAGGTAATTCAGCCTCTAAATTGGCTAAATTATAATGATTTTGCTCCACCTCATTTTGAGTATCATTAGAACCATTAACAGCAGTATTTACATCATTTAAAGTCTGATTTTGCTTCAAACAGGGCATTTCATTCTCATTAAATGCTACATCTCGACTAATAAAAGTTTTGAAATCTTGTTTAGTGTTTAACCATAGCCTATATCCCTTAACACCCTCGGGATACCCTAGGAACACACACTTCTCAGCCCTAAGTTCAAGTTTATCATTGAAAACACGTATGAAAGCAGAACAACCAAATACTTTCAGGTTTGAAAAATCAATTCTCTTTCCACTCCACCTAAATTCAGGACATTCACCTTTCAAAGGCACTGAAGGTGATCTATTAATCAAATAGGCTGCTGTAAGAACAGTCTCACCCTAAAAGCTCTTGGATAAACCCGATGAAGCAAGCAAGCTTCGAACTCTTTCCAATAGAGTTCGGTTCATCCGTTCAGCCACCTCATTTTGTTAAGGTGTATAAGGGGCTGTTTTATGTCGTTTTATTCCATTTTCAATGCAAAAACTATCAAACCAAGTGTTGCAATATTCTAAGCCATTGTCAGTTCTCAAACACTTAATCTTCTTACCCGTTTGATTTTCAATAGAAATTTTCCAATTTTTAAAAATTTCAAACACATCAGACTTCTGTTTCATTAAAAATACCCAAACTTTCCTTGAAAAATCATCAATTATAGTCAAAAAATATCTTCTACCACCATGTGTGGGTTCACTAGCCGGTCCCCACATATCTGAGTGAAGATATTCAAGGATATCTTTTGAAAAAATCCTACTTTCAGTGGGTTTTTGAGGAAAAGTAACTCTATGATGCTTTCCATATATGCAATTGTCACAAAATGGCACATTTGAGAAATTTCCAGCACCTAAACAACCTGTTTTATGCAAAATCTCCAATCCTCTATTACTCAAATGACCTAATCTCTTATGCCACAACTCAGTGCTGTCATGGACAGCATTCACACAAGCATCAGATTCACAAATAGGCACAGCAGACACAATATAGAGATTATTTCTCAAATCAGCCTTGAAAACTACTAAAGAACCCTTAGTTATTTTCATAAAATCCATTCCCCATTTTCCTTCTAGTCCTAAAAAAGACAAACCAACACAAGAAAGCAAGTTATTTGACAGATTAGGGACATGTCTCACATTGCACAGCTTTAAAACATTTCCAGATTTAAATTTCAGCACAACAGTCCCTATTCCTTTAACACTGCAAACCCTATTATCAGCCATAGTCACATTACAGTTTAAAAGGGTTTTATAATCACTGAAAAATTTCATAAAAGGGGTCATGTGATAGGTGCAAGCTGAATCTAATAACCATTCATTCTTATTAAAAGCAGTCACATTGGAACATTCAGCAGTAACAGCAAACACTTCACTTAAGCCATCATCATGAGAAATCAAATTTACTTGTTCATTTGAAGAAGTATTAATAGGGGTTGTTCCATTTCTAAAGTTATTGTTGTTGTTATTCAAGTTTCTATTCTTCTTAGGACAATTCCTAATGAAATGTGAAATGTCACCACAATTAAAACACCGTTTAACATACTTTGAAGGGGTTTGAGATCTATTCCTAGACTTACTTCTAGACTTCTTCTTATGTTGACTATTGTAGGAGTTATTCCATTGCTTATTGTTATTGGAAAAAGAGCCATTCTTATTCGGTCTAAAGGGAGATCTACCCCTAACATGCATCACCTCACCATGTGACTGTTTATTAGCTTTACTTAGTTTCAAATCCACTTCTTTACTTTTTAGACCATTTACCACAACATCTAGAGTAATCACATCTCTACCATACTTTATAGTTGATTTTACATCTGAATATGTACTAGGGATTGCATTTAACATGACAATAGAGCTGTAATCATCTATGTTTTTATCCCCTGTAAGTTTTATATCTTGAATTAACTTTGAAAAAACATCTAAATTTTCATCTATTGTCTTTGAAAGGTCTAATTTGAAACTAAAGAATTGCTCTAACAAATGTATTCTATTTGGAAGTGAAGTTTCAGTATACATGTTATTTAATTTGTCCCACAAATCCTCAACTGAACCATAAGTACCTATTTTTCTAATTACATGGTCAGCTAGGTTTAAAATAATGCACGAAGATGCAAGTTCATCAAGCTCAAACCTTTCTTCAAGAGAAAGGTCTGTTGTTTGATCAGGTTCAACGGCTTTTATAGATCTTTGAGTTACAAGAACACTTCTCATCTTTTGTTTCCAAATTGCAAAATCAGATTTTCCATCAAAAGGCTGTATATTAAAGAATGCTTGACTAGCCATGATTTTAAAAGAAGGAAAAAAAAACAATCTGTTTTAGGTAAAAAACATAAGAACAGACCAAATTTTCACAAAAACAACTACTGGTCCTAAAAAAACAGATTCACAGAATCACTTAACAGAAGAAAAACGAATATTAACTAATCCAAGGGTTAGTTTCTTGAGAAAAACTAACTTAGGAGCAGTTAATATTACCTAACTCACAATCAAATTTGCACAAACTGCTCTAACTAACACTTTAACTGTCACACCAACCTCAAACAGCCACACTTATCACAGAAACAGCCACTTAGCACAGAAACAACCACTTAGCAAACTAAAATCGCCACACTTAGTCACCCCAAAACTGAAATCTCACAAAAACACGCAATGAGGTTAGGAATGTTACCCACTCCAAGCTCCGTAACTATTCTTTGACTTTCTTTTCGTAATTCAAGGCCTCCAACTTGTAAAATCCTTCCAACTGCGCACTTAATACACAGATTAGTAAAGTTTGGATGAATCAATCAACATGGAACTACACAAATCAACCAAATAAGGATGATTTCAAGTCCTAATCTCCTACGGGGCTTATCTTAGACATAATCAAGGAGATCTAAACTTTACAGAAGTGAAAAACACCTTTAAAAATCTGTTTTCACTTTGAAAGAAAAGTAAACAACCAAGATTTCGAAAAACTTGAAATTATTTACACAAATCCTTCAGATTTTATAGAGAGAACTAGGTGTTCACTCCAGGAACTCGAAAATCACGATTCCAGTAAACTAACAAGCCCTAAATAGCTCTGATACCACTTGTAATCGAAATTAAGGACCGAATACTTGTAGTTTATAATTAATCGAACACATACGAAACAAGAAACATCGAATCTTTTATATACTTTCTAAATCGAAGGAGTTCGGACTCAGTTTACCCAATATTCCAACTGATTAGCAACACATACACACAACCTCGACCCAAACACTACCGACATCCACAGAAACGTACAATCAGCGCGATTAACAACCTAATCGAAAGAAATCTCAAGATTCTAAGCCTAAATCATCGCGGACAATCAAGTTACACCTCGAACAGCTCATAAAAACAGAATTGAGGAATCAAACCCAAGAATAGCTTTAGAATAAGCTGTAATACAACCACGGTGGATGAACTTCAAGTTCCGATGGCCAAACTTGCCGGAATGCCACGGACAGGTCGATCGCGTTCGTCGGGAAAGCTAGGGCTCCAGAGAGTGAATATCGCGATGTGAAAAGAGTGAGAATCGTCTGTCCAGTGAACCGGGAAGCAGTATATATATATATAAGACCCCTTTGACCGGTTTGAGGGCGGTCCAGGGCGGTTCAGGCCAACCGAACCCATCCTCCAATTCATCACTCAATCGGGTCGAACCGCGGGCACAGTATCCGGGTTTCGATAGGTTGGATCGGGTCGAAGTGTAATATGCACAAAACATCACAACTTTTATATTATCTACACAATTATCTATAACTCACATAAATTTTTTTTCTTCAAATTAAAACACAAAACAAACAAACCCTAAATATTACACACAAACACACACAATTAAAAGTATATATATGTGTATATAT